GGGGGGGCGGGGAGCCTGCTGCAGCAGCCTGGGGCTCTCTTCCTGCTCCGCATCAGCTTCTTCCCATCTGCATTCGTCTTTGTGGTCCAGGAGAGTAGGGCAACTTCCTCAGCCCAGACCTGAGAAACAACAATTGGCAATTCCTGCAGCCATAGACTCTCTCCCAGATTGACAACCCCCAGCAACCATCATCCCTGCAGCGTAATCAGTCACTAACATGTAGTGGGGCACACAGCCCAGCACCCAGGGCCATCTCCAGCTGCAGTAGTGCTGCAGACCAGGAACATTTACCCTGCCATCAGCTATGCAAATGGGACACACAAACAGCTCTTCCTTTCATTCTTTGCCTCATTAAGATGCTCATCTCTCCAAAATGAGGATGAAAGCAGCACTGATACTGCAGTTAACTCATGCAGTGCCAAGCATTGCTAGGCTGGCAGCCACATGCTGCCATTTCCTGGGAAGCCCCTGACGAAGGGAGCAGTGCTGCCTGCTCTGCCCTGCTGCAGCCTGGACCAGCTCCCCCGAGCGCTAACCTCTGCAGGGAGATGGGAAGTGATAGCAGAACAGGGAAACACAGAGCTGTGCTCCTCCTGGACTCGGGGCCAGCCAAGGCCACCTCTCCCAACCTATTAACTTGGGGGTTGTAAAGCTTAAAGATACAGATAGCTTGCAGGTAGGACATTTATGCAGCCTTCAGAGCAAGCACTGCATGGGCATTTAGAGGCACATTAACCTGCAGAGGATTGTAAAGCCAGATGCGGCAAGCTGGGGGCAAGCGTCAGGGCAGAAAGGGCAGTTAGGCAGCCTGTTACCCCTACCTCCATACCCCATCACCCACCGCTGCCTCCAGGCAGGGGAATTAATTCCTGACGCAGTGGGCAGGGCCCGCCCCGCTGGTGCAGGTACTATATATAGCTAGCTGCTGCAGCTCAGGTAACTGCTTACTAGAAGGGATGCAGCAGAGCCAAGATGTCACCCAGCAGAGCTCACATGACCCAGGCAAACTGCTTATTGCTCTCCCCTCTCCACCCCCAAGAACTGCCTGGCAACACACAGCAGAGCTGCAGTGAGCACAGCACCCCAAGCTCATGCTCCCCCCCAGGGACAGAAGCAGGGAGCCGCCTGCGTTTCAAGATCCATTAGGGAGATCTGTGGAAATCGGTCTGGACTTTGCTGTTAAGGGCACAGGTGCCCGCAGGGACACGCTCCTGGGGTGCCCCTGCTAGCTGGGGAGCTGTGCCCACTAGCCACACAGGCAGGAGCAGGCAGGCAGCTTTGTTTTTACGATGAAGAAATTTAACTCTATCCCAGCCAAAACCAGTAGAGGAAGGCTGGTACAGCTCTGCCAGCCAGCGCTGTTCTGGTCAAAAGCCAGTGGGAAGGGACCATCCTGCAGGGATCCTACCTGGAAACCAGCCTTAGGCCTTGAGCTGGCTACACTGCATAGCGTAGCAATGAGCAGCCTGCTGCTTGGTGAACTTTCTCCTCCCAGGGAGCTGCCACAAAGCATTTTAAAGAATACAAGACCAAGCAGGTCTAGCCTCACTCTAGCAGGTAACCTGATGCTCCCAGCATTGCATAAAAGTCCAGCAAAACCCCCAGACGTGCACTCCCAGAGATCGCACAACAGCTCCCAGCTTGTCAGACAAGCTGCAGGGATGCTCTGATACTTAGCAACCACTTGAGTTGTTTTGGTGGTGGGAGGGAGTTTCCCTGTTGGGGTGGGCTGTGAAATTCCCCTCCTCCCCAGCCTCCTGAGCACTCTCTCCCATTTCTTGCAGTCAGAGGCTTTGCAGCAGCTCCGGAAGGATTCAGAGAGTATCCGGAGCCGATATGCACACTACTTTGACCTCTCACTGGTCAACAACGGGGTGGAAGAAAGCCTCCAGCTGCTGCAGGAGGCCTTTGAGCAGGCCTGCAGCTCTCCACAGTGGGTGCCTGTCTCCTGGGTCTACTGAGGGGGCATCTGAGCCCAGCTGCTTCCCATCAACCATCCTGCAGCCATGGGGAGAAACCTACTCCTCAGCTTCCCCTGATCCACACACAGCCCAGCACAACTCCCTTCCTCTGCTGCTCCACGGACATGGTCTCAATTGGTTGACACACACACACACGCAGGGTCTCTGGATGTCCTCTCCCAGGGGAACACAGGACAGGGGCTGCCCAGGGGACAGCTGCCTCCCGGGGCACTGCAATGCAGTGAGAAGTTAGTGGCTACAGCAGAGCCCAGGACATTCTGTTAGTTCAGAGCACAACTCCCCGCCTCACAGGGCAAGGAAAAGCACAGTCCTGCTGTAGCACCTGGCCGATCTTCTCAGCATCAGTCCCAAGGGAAGTGGTAGAGCAGGGGCTTTCCAGGCAGATGTCCCCTGCCATCGCAGGAGTGCACACTGCGCCACAAACACCTGAAAAGCCTGGCTGGTGTCTGCGAGGCGTCAAGGAAGCCCACAGCTTAGGAGGCTTCACACAGACCACACCAGAGCTCCTACATCCAAGGGTTTCCCCTCACAAATGGGGAAGAGCAGAAAAGGGCGAGCATGGATTTGACGGAAGTGGCATGGAGCACACCACCCCCAGGCAGGCCTCACCCCGTGTTCCGAGGTTGGAGTTTGATTCACCCTGTGCAACTGTAGTTCTAAAAACTCACTGTATTTAAAATCTCACCGCACAGCTTGGATTGTTTCCGCCTGGCAGGAGAAACTTGGCAGCAGCTGAGGAAGTCCCACAGACCAAACCCCAGAGGGACAGTTCAATGGGTAAATTAGATCCAGCCACAAGTATGTTGCATGCAGTAGAAAGTGTCTCTACAAAGATCATCCAGGCATGCCTTCCAGAGTTTAGGGTGTCTCACACATTGTATGCAAACATAAAAGCCACCCACACAAAGGGGTTCCTTCTTCTGCAGGAGTGTACTGATGCACAAGCCCCACCATGACCATGTCCGGGAAGCATCACCATGGCTCCTGGGCAAACCATAGCCATCATTTAGGTGAAAGAATCTCATTTGTGTGTTCAGCAGTCAGCTAGGGGAAAGGGGAAGGGGATTAAGAAGTCTTGCGCAATTTTTTAGGGATGCCAAAAATAAAATCTGTTGATGTGCAATAGGGACCTTCGTTCTGATCCACTGCAGGGAAACAATGAGCAGCAATAAATGTGCTGAAACACTGCTGTGACTGGTGTTTTACCTCTGAGGCTGAGCACTTGCTCACAGCTGGAAGCCTGTTCCCACCTCTCCGACCCTAACACACTCGAGGTTAGGCAGGCCAGGACCAAACAGTCCCTCCAGCCACCATCGGGCCTCTCCAGCAGCTCACTCCAGCACAAGCAAAGGAGGAAAGAGAACACCCAGCTTCCAAGCACATGTCCCATTGGGTTTTACCAAAGCGGAGGGCGGCCCCTAAACACCTGTGAAGTCCTGACCAGCAACAAAGGCCCCTCTAGGGATGGTCCATGTCAACATGACCACTTCTCTGCACCAGCAGCTGCTTCAGGAGAGCAGCACTAAGGCTGGGCAGAAGGGGCAGCCATCTACCTGCCCAGCTGCAGCACACACATGCATTAAGCTGCTTCCCCTCCCCATGAACAGACCACTGACCTCTTATAGGAGCCAGATGAGCAAGAAAATCACCTGTTCAAAAATAGGGCTTTTATTTTTATGTAAAAAAGAGTAAATAAAAATGGACTACTTTTTCTGCTCAGATTCTGACAGCCACCAGCTGCTGGCCCCACTGCCTGCATGTATCTCTAGCATTGGAGGGGAGAAAAGTCAGATGGTTAAGAAAAAAGCAATGCACGAGGCTAAGACAGACATTTACAGAATCTCTGCAGGGATGAAGCTCAGAACAAAGCAGCCTGGATCCTTCCCCATTAAAAGGGGTTAATATCCTGGCTCAGCACTACCCCTGTGACAGAGAGACCTCCTGCCCCCAGCAAGCCACCCCAGATAAGGAAATTAGGACAAGTCTTTCTGAAACCACTCAAGCCCCACACCCAGTGCCACTTGCAGAGCTGCCTCTGGCCAACCTTTTCCTCACGAGGACTCAGGTTGCAACAGCCCTTTAAAAAAGCATACTGGCCAGCCACCCTCTGGTCACTTCCGCTCCCCAGCAACATCCCCAGGTCTAGCCTTCAGAGCATATTAGATATCAAAACCAGGGAAGGCAACTGAAAGCGCTGCAGTCCCATTCTAACAACTGGATAGAGAAGAGCAAAGAGCCAGCAAGAGGTACTGACGAGGCCACTGGGGCACTGGGTCTGGGGATCAGCCAACAACTAACAAGCAGGTCCCTGCACTATAAAGCAAAAAAGCATTAATGTAATGTTTTAATCCTTTTATGATAAAAAAAAAAAGTACTGAAGAATATCTGGGTGGACTATTTGATCTCATCTAGCTGGTGGCCAGGTTAAAACAAACCAGAGCCCTTCAAATAACCAATTCGACTGTCCCCATCCAAACCCATTCAGATGGGCTGTGACAAAGCCAGTCCTCCAGACATCAACACATTCTGTGACTGTCAGGTAACAGCTCCAACCTTGGAAGAAAAGGAAGAAAGAGGCAGGACAAGAGCGGGGAGAACCATTATTCCTTCCTTTTCAAGGTGAAAACAGAAACAGCAGGTAAGAGCCAGGAGCTACAGCTTCCCTGAAGATACCACTTCTATTGGCATCACGGTGTTCAACTTTAGGGAGCAATCCAGTGCAGGGGCAGTTGGGCACCCCGCTCCTCTGGCAACCCTTAAAACAGGATGAGGAGGGGTACTTGAGCAGGGTGTATCCTGGGCAAACACACCCGCTCCCTCGTATACACAGCAGAAAAGGAACTTGGAATTTGCTGGCCCCTCTGCCACGCAGCCAGTCCTCTTTTTCTCAAGGCCTCAGACTCCTCCCTCCCTACCGACGAGGTCGCCTGCTTTGGACACATCTAGTCGCTTACTCCGAGCTCTCTTCTACCTCCTTTTGTTTCTTCTTCTTCTTTTTCTTCTTGGTGCTGGTCTCACTGGTCTGTGAAGAGGTTGAAGAGGTCAGGAAGAAATCAGAAAGGAATCCCCCACTGCTCATTTCAGGAAGAACCACCCCACTCCGGATGCAGTGCAGGCTCCTCATGGCCGCAATCCTCCCTCGCCACCAGACAAGCACTCAAGCACAGACTGAATGCCAGCACCATACTGGGCACCATCCTCCCACCAGGGCCTGTTACAGGACACCAGAGCACAGAGGTGGCCTGGCAGGAACACGTACCCACCAACGGCCACGGGGCACAGATGGCTGCTCACCCCATCCACTGCAGATCCACCCCCACAAGCCTCACCTGTCCTATCTCCCACCACCCCCAACAGTTCAGTTTACAAATGCACCTATCCAGACATCTTTCTCTGCCTGTAGAGAGCCTGGCACTTTGGGGACATGCACAGCAGGATGCTGATGTGTTTATCCTGGAGGTATTAAGGAGAGACAATCCCTCCCATCTCTCCCATAATTGGACTGTACCATGGCAGGACCCAGTTACATACCACTTCTATTTGCTCTTCTGCACTCTCAGATGCCTCTTTGGCCTTCTTCTCTTTCTTTTTCTTTTTCTTTTCCTTCTTGCTCAGCTCCTCTGGTGGTGGGGAGGCAGGGGATGGTGGGGTCACAGCCTCCTCACTTTCACTCTCTGACTCTCGCTTCCTCTGTTAGAGGAACACGTTGTCAGACACGCCATCTTCCAAAGAAGCTCAAGTGATGGGAAAACTGTCTGCAAGCCCATTGCAACTATTCTGTCTGATTCAATCAAACTTCACAGTTAACAATGCTTTGAGCGGGAGGATGAGCTACAGACTGCCAGTGGTCCCCTCCAGCATACACTGTCTAGGATTTGCTTCTGCCAGAATTGCACCCCTTGTTTCTCAGTGTTTCCTGTACCCCAAATGCTCCAGAGTTTGAAACACTGCTGCACCTTTACAAGTGCACACACAAGCCCTGACTTAGATCCTTAGATCACAGCACAAGCCCTGACTTAAGGAACTTTAGATGCAACTCTTGCATGGAGATTTCTGCAACTGTCTGTAGTCTCCAGAAAGGTTCTCTGGCACAACAAAGCTCCATTGTGGCTCCATAGAACATATTTCCTTGGATGCCGCAGCTCATACACCACAAGTCAGAGCTCCTCATTCTCACACTGTACTGCAGGACTCGCACCCAAAATACAACGTCCCAGAGACAAACACCTAGGAACAAGGCCTAAACAGGTCACCCTACAGCTAGCTCGTGGGCCACACAACCACAACACATGTTGGGGCACTAGGCTCCCAGAATATGAAACACCTTCCCCTGTAAAACAACCAACCAAAGCAGCACACAGTCCAGCACCTGGTACCAACTGCCTAAAGGAACAGGCACATATCCACTCTTCATCAGGGCCCAAACAACCTTACAGCCAGAGAACACTAACAATACTCACTTTTGGAGCCCTCTCCAGCTCTGAAACAGCTTGCGGAACAGCAGCTGCCTCTTTCTTGGAAGCATCCCTGAAAGAGAAGATCCCCAGGCTGAGCACAACAGCCGCTGCCATGCGCTGCTCCGTACAAGTACAAAGTCCTGTCCCCCTCGCAAGGGCTCCATAGCCCGTGCCAGGTGCTGGGTGGGGAGGCTGGTGTGGGGAAGACCTGCAGCCTGCACCCGGGCCAGCTAGGCTGGGCAACAGCAAGGCCTCCCCCATTTAATTTAGCAGACTGACTCCCTCTAAAACCACAAACACAGGCTAGAAAGGGATAACTGTCTGCTCAGGGCCTTTCCCTCTGGCACTGCCCACAAGCAACACATTCCCTGGGACTGCAAGAAATGCCACCGCAACCCACGGGTCCGGACAGCCGACAGCCTTAGGTCAGGCCTAAGCACAAACGGCAGCACCCAGGCCAGCCCTCACTGCACAGGGCTCCCCTCTGCCCACCATGCGGGAGCCACACACCCTGCACCCACCTGTAATCCACATACTCCTTCTTCCAGGAATCCGGTGTGCTCTCGTTGGGCTTTCCATGCTTGTCCAACAGACCCTTCTGGATCATCATCTTCTTTTGACTGGCCTGAGAACATGCAACAAGTCAGACCGCAGCTCCAGGGAGGAGAAATCCTCCCCAGGGCTTCAGCCACTCGGCCTAAGAGGAGGTAATCCATGAAGAAGCCAAGCCAACAACTACAGTGTTACTGATTTAACACTTCTCCAAGGATCTTCTAAGAAATCACACAAAACATCCCCTGCACAGCAGCCTACAAGTCTCAGACAAGAGGCATCTTCATCAGTAAATAAGGAGTAATTTGTGGGAGAACTAACAGCAGCAAAATAAGATGACTCTGCACATCATGGAGCTCAGATCTTTGACTCGGTTTCTCCAGCTTAATGACCTGCCGCATTTCAGCTGAACCACTCCAGCTGCAAATGCAAGGCTTTGCTAAAGACTCCAAGATGCCTGAACTGGCCCACATTACCTCACATTTGCTGCAAGACAGATGTGCATGCATCCCCACAGCTTTCTACATTTCACCTGAACCACAGGAATGAAATAAGCCACAGCAACTTGGCACCGAGTTGTAAGTCCGATCTGCATCACTTGCCCCAGTGAAATGCCAGTCTGGCTGCAGTTAAGCTAGCATTGCTGACCTGCTGCTTTCCATGACTACCACATGCTTGAGACAGGAGAGGAACGCAACAACAGGTGTTCCCACTGCTCCTGTCGTCCTTCAGGCACAATTTAGTGTCTCAACACAGTTTGCATTTTGGCACTGTTGCAATAGCACCAGAAGGAAAAGCAGCTGCTTCCCCAGCCCCTCCAGAGCCATCAGTATAGGGTGATAGATGAAGGTCATCTTTGCAGAGCGCTAATGCCATCCACTTCACATCATTTGGCTCTTTACCAGAGGAGGGCTGGTGCTGCACAGACCTGAGGAGCCCACACCTGGGCACCAGCGGCAGCCCCAGCTGGGCCTTGGGTAGAGCTGCCCAGGCTCTGTTGGGGGGGAGTGGCACTGGGCTGGCATGGCCCCGGCACTGGGAAGCACTACCATCATGGCTCCAGAAGAGCACAGCACAATTACACCAATGGCCTGGAGAAGACACAGGCGCAGCTCTGCCCAAGGGGCCCAGCGTCCCACATGCCAACAGCTGGGCTCCCACCACTGCCCTGGGACTGACCGCACCCCCATGTCACTCACCTTGGGACCGAGACCCCATTTGCGGGGATACGTGTCTCTCTCCATGATCACTCTCTTGATCTTTGCCACAATGCCATGGTCACAGGTAGAAATGACTGCTGTGGTCATCAAGGCAATGGCTGCAGAAGCAGGCAGAATGTTCATTAACTCTTTAACAGCAGAATTGTGATAGCACCACAGGAACCTGCTGTGTTTAGCCTGTTCTTCCTCTGTCAGCATAAAGAGGAGCAACAATGCCCACCAGTGCCATTTCACCCAAAAACCTCACTGAAGGCAAGTTCTGGACTAACACAGAGAGCTGCCTTCCTCAAAGACAGCAAGTGCATTAGTCATGGATTAACCACACCATAAGCACAGGCCTTTCCGGCTTACAGCAGAAGACTAGTTCTCGATCAGTCAACGCAATAAGAGCAGCACCAACACCACCACTAGAGGGGGAAGAGCTCTGTGAGCAGCTGCTGGAGCACTTCCAGGCAGCTCAAAGAGCCATGCCACTATAGAAAGGAGCAGTGCTGCTCCTTTGTCAGCTCCTAAAACCTTGCAGAGCCAAACTAGAGGAGACTAATCCTACCAATAAATTACGTTTTTCTTGCCAGGTCCCCAGGATGACCAGAGTGCAGGCAGTACAAACAACAGGGTGGAAGGGCTTGGCTGTGTTACACCTCCAAGGCCTCTCAGTCCCATGGGTCTGGACAAAGCATGAGGCTGTGCAGCACTGAGCACCATGACAGACCATCTGTACAGCCTGTACATCTGTCAGTGCCTGCCACCTACACAGCTTCTTTGAAGACCCTGGTTAGAACAAAGCACCCTTTTGAGTCACTTCACAGAAGCTGCTATTGCTCAAGTCCTTTTACACTGACCTGCTCAGAAGTGTGATGTGCCAGGTAGCAGCATGTGATCAGACATCATCCCTCGTCTCAGTGGGGATGGAGTCCCCCAAAGAGGGGCTCCAACCCTGCCAGCACCACTTCACTCCTGCAGGCAGCCAGCCACACACCACAGCAGCCCCCAGTAGGACACTGGGAGACTGGAGGGTCTCTGGAGGCTGCACAGCACCCAGACCCTAGAACAGGAATCGGGGTGCTGCAGGAGGGCAGCACCACTGCACTCAGAGAATGGATAAACTTCGTCATCACCTCACACACAGAGTGCACCTGAGCATCACGCAGCTGAAACCAGGCTGAGGAACTCTTCACACCTTGCCAAGGACTGACACAGCCACTGTTTCTTAACATCCTACCCAACACCAGCTGCCTTGGGCCTTACTAACCCACAGTCCCCATCAGGAAGCGCTATTTAAACCTTTTGCGCATGGGGACTCATTTGTTGTGCGTTCACTGGAACACAGTCTATTATTTCTGCAGTTAGCTGGGCACAAGAACAAGGAGTTTCATACCTAGGCAGATAGCTTCTCCTTTCGTGGTGATGACGACAATCTCCTGATTAAGCTCAATACCATCTTCATACCTCAGGACACCAGGCAGCATGATCTTGGCTCCATAGCAAATGGCATTAACCTGAAAATGTAGGTAAGGAGGGCTTATAAGCTATTAGAGAATAAAAACAACATAAGAAGTGCCTGTAATATTTTAGCTTCCCATTGCCATTACTGTCCCAGCAATAACATCCCTACGTATCTATTTCTTATTGTCCACTATATAAAACTTGGGGGCTTTGGAATAAGCAAGAAAAGCAAAGCACCAATCACAGCAAACAACATGTGATGCACATCTCCTACAACCATCAGCATGTTCCTGAAATGAGGAGAGCAGCTTCTCTGCCACTCAGTTTTTGGGTCTTGCATCTTACTGCTGATGGCAGTGGCCCATACTAGGTCCTACACAGGTCACAATCAGGACAGCGCTGGACACAATATGGATCCTGATCCCCCATTTATTATATTACCTGCACAAGTTAGGTGGACACTTTGTAGTCTCTGGCTGTCAACTGGCACTATCTCAGGAACTCACCGCACTGTCTTTCATGACTAGCCGCTTGTGTGAAGTCAGCAGTTTCTCCAACGGCAGGATAACTCTTCGCAGGTAGCTGTCATCCTTGTTGTTGTCATACTGCCATTGTGCATCCAGTACATCGTGCATAGTCACCATGTTGTCCTGCAAAGACACAACCCCTCTAAACTCTCCTACCAGCGACCAACTCAAAACACACACAAGAAAACAGCTGAAGTCCAACAGCAAATAGTGTGCTGAAAGGAAGTGAAAAAAAGATGCCCAACTCAAAAGCATCAAAAAAGCAACCTAGAAGAGGCAAGAATACTTTCCATCAACAGATTGAGGTCAGCCTGACTTGTGCTACCACAGACTTCAACCTTCCTAATCTCAGATAAGATATTCAATAATATTCACTAGATCCAAGTGTATAAGGTCTGTCCACATGAAACTTTGAAATGTGACCAAACTTAAATAAATACCTGGGAATTCTAGACAAAGATTAACGAGTAGAAGTCTAAATTAGCCAGCTTTTCAATCTGTGACACGGAATAAATTCTTGAAGGAGCTGTAAGCACCCAACACCTGGAATTCAGAAATGACTGCCAATGATTACAGCTGTGGTAAGAGCACAGATGGGTGGGGAAGCACTTGCACTCTGATACTCCTGCTTTGCAAGGAAAGAAATTAATTCAGTTAATTTATTTCAGTTTAAATTAATTCAAATAATTTCAGGAGTTTGGACCAGCAGCAAGATCCAGCTATGACCAGACTGAAAAGACTGTACAAGTGTTAAAGATCACACAAGGCTGCATCTCCCAGGCTCATTTCGATAAAGCACGCTCCCTGCGTTGTGCCCTGACACCAAGCGGTCACAGATTGCTAAGCAGTCAGCTCACACGCCTGAACTCGTGGCACGTGCGTGGTTTGTAGGCTGAGAAACACAAGTGGCATAAAACAAACTTTCAGTCACCATGGTGCACTTCCCAGTCACTTGCTGTCCCAAAGCTTAATTATCAGAACAGGGGCACACCCTGAACTGAACTCAACACTTTGGTTGCAGACTGTCTATACCAAGAGCTCCCATGTTTTCCCGGCTATTCACAAAACTCCTCCCAGCCACCATGCACCTATACCTTCTCCTAACACTGCAAAACTCCAAGGAACTCTTGAAATTCTGACAATTTCAAATGTGCTAGTTATAGTTAGAGCTACCACTCTACCTTCTCTCCCAGGATGCCTGAGCGCACTCTGCGGAGCTCCTGCATCTGGCCCCCCACACCAAGCAGCAAACCAAGGTGAACACAGAGCGTTCGGATATATGTGCCTGCTTCACAGCTCACCCAGAAGATACCTGAAATGCAAGACAGGACAGAAGAATATTTAAATACATATCTGGAAACAAATCACATGTAGAAGCTCCCTCTGAGAGAAGCTGTATATCCAACCCTTCACAGAGCCATCAGCCTGGGGTGATAGATGAAGGTCATCTTTGCACTGAGTGCTAATGCCATCTAATTGACATCATTTGGCTCTTCAATGAAGGATGCAGCAGTACAAATAACAAATGGGATTTGCTTCTCAGCACACCAAAGCAATGTATGAAGCAGTTACTGCTTGATGGTGGGGAGGATTTATGTCTTAAGACATCTGCCAGGAATAGGAAGCAGCCCATTTAACAGGAAATTTTATCAGCTGTCAGCTTAATAGGAAGAAGGCAGGAAAGCCTTGTTTTACCTAATCTTCTCTCAGGATCATACTCCACCAGCTTGCTCTCATAGATGGTTCTGACCCTCAGTTGTCGTTTGACAGCAGCAATGAGGGGTGGTCGCTGAAACAGTGCGCCTGTCAGAGTTTCTATTGCCTGAGGGTAGAAGCAGAAGAAGTAACAGCTCACACCTGTACCCTAACGTAGGAGCACCTTGGGGTCTCCAGCAACTACCACCACTTCCATGAATAAGAAACCACAAGGTTCATAATTTGGCGATGTCATATTTAATAAAGCCGATCTGAACCAGTGATGTGGTCAGAATGCTACCCCAGCTGCCAGTGAGCACAGCTGGGCTTTTTTATCAGGTGGCAGCATGTGATCAGACATCATCCCTCGTCTCAGTGGGGATGGAGTCCCCCAAAGAGGGGCTCCAACCCTGCCAGCACCACTTCACTCCTGCAGGCAGCCAGCCACACACCACAGCAGCCCCCAGTAGGACACTGGGAGACTGGAGGGTCTCTGGAGGCTGCACAGCACCCAGACCCTAGAACAGGAATCGGGGTGCTGCAGGAGGGCAGCACCACTGCACTCAGAGAATGGATAAACTTCATCACCACCTCACACACAGAGTGCACCTGAGCTCCACACCTACCCTCTCATCTCCCACCAATGCTGAACACTTTGCATGTAAAGTGCCAGCATGGCTAAGAGCATGCCGAGACTTACCCTGGCAAGCTGAGCCTCACTTTCAATTGCATTGTGCAGCCGAACAATTCCCACATACTCTTTGCCTGAAAGAACGACAAGAGCAGTCAGGAGTGGCCACTTACATTTAATGTTGACCTCAAGGTTCACATTGCTTCACAGCCACACATCCACAGAGCCCTGAAATTTTCACAACCACCTCTCCTAGGAAGTGCGCAGTTTATTATGGAGTCGATTACTCTTCCAACAAAATAAATCTAAGCTACATTTATTTCTTCACCAAGTTTTATTTCACTGGACTGGTAGAGACTGAGGCCCTAAGTTCAGTTAGTACATGAAACCAGTCTGTTAGAAGTGTTCTCACTGACTTAAAACAGCACAAGCCCCAGAGAAGCATTAAAAAAAAAAATATTTTGTGACAGCATGGATGCACCCTGACTGGCTTGGAGTGAGAAGGATAAGCAACCTTTAAGCTCAAAGCACTGAAGATCAAGGGTAGCCCTTTCAAAGACTGGAAATCTCCATTTCATCTCCAAAAGAACTCCACACCTCCCCAGTCACTTACACTGTAAATGGTCCCAGGCAATAAACATACCTGCGCTCTGCTGAGATTTGACCAGTCGTGTTGCCCTCTCAATGCACACAATGAGGCACCCAGTCACCTTAGGATCCAGAGTGCCACTGTGTCCAGTCTTCTCTACTCGAAGGATGCGTCGGATCCATGCAACCACCTCGTGGGAAGATGGATTGGAAGGTTTGTCGAGGTTAATAAAGCCAGACCTATAGTGCAAGATCACAGAGAGCAGGAGCTAAGCATCAGGGCAAACAGAGCAAGAGCGCAAAAACTTTGACAATATTTGTCATGGCTGCAAAGAAATGTATACAGCCAAATAAGCAATGAGCCTCGCAGATGCTCTCAGTGAGCACACATTGAGCTGCTCTGCACACAGCAGGTGATGTATTCCACTGTCAAAGAATTCTCTTCTCCCCAGACTGCTCATCACTACTCTGCACTTAAACCAAATCCTACAAACAAACCCCAAGCAGTCTCAAAGCCTAGCAGGCCGAAGGACTTTCCATAAGACCCCAGAGAATTCCTCAAGTGTTTGCATGTTTGTCCACAGACCAGTACAACCCCAGAACAAAGCCAACTTCACAGGAAGTGACCAGCACGTCCTATTTAAACATTCACTAGTTGGTAGCAAGGTACTGAGTCAAGCAGAAAGGTAAAAGGGGAATCCAGAACAGAAAATGTTTTGGAGATATTAACTGTGAAAGAAAAATAAACCACTCTGGCCCTTATCGCACTCACCTGACATAATCAGAAATCTCTCTCTTCAGGGGATTAGCACCAGAAGAAAGAGGTGTGTAGTGTGCTGTCATCACATTTAACTTGTCAAAGTTCTGCAAAATCCAAGCAAAAGTTACAAATGTTCTTGAGCTTACTCTGGTTTCAGCGTTGCTTTGCCCCAAAACATCTCCCCAGTTACACAACATCTGATTTGTGCATTTAAGTGAAAGGGTCTCTTCCAAAATGAAAACGACCCAACAACGAAACCACAACCACATTTTACAGAAACAGAAAGAAATAAAAGTCCTGCACTGAAAGAGATGGGAAAGTAGCAAAATACCAGCCTTCACAATGCAGGATAAATCCAGTGTGCCCCAGAAACTCCGCACAAGCAACTCAGAAGTCTACACAGACCACAGGCCGAAATAAATAGCTGAAGAAATCTGGTGGGGTCTCTACAGGAGATGCTAAACTTAGAAAGCAGGCATGCAAATTACACTGCTAGACAAAATTTATAACGTGATTTCTGTATGCAGAGGGTTTGCCTCTGCTTTTAGTGTCAGGCATGCTGTTTCTCAGCAGGAGGGTTACACAGAGAAGGAGCTGTGCATCCCCACAGGCCTCCACTGAGAGAAGACAGAAGAAGGAGCAGGGACGTCTCGTGGCCACGAGGCTGCCCACAGCCCGCTCTACCTTCAGCAGCAAGGGCCACTGAGACGTGTCCAGCTGGGCGATCCGGGACTCGGGCTTGATGAAAAACTCCTCCGTGTGCTGAATGTCCTGAGGGCGGATGAAGTTACCGAGATCAGAGAAGGGAACCCAGCGGCCCGCGCTCCCGCCCGCTGCC